CACAACAGCTGATCCAACTACAACAACAACTGTTCCAACCACAACAACAGCTGCTCCAACTACAACAACAGCTGCTCCAACCACAACTACGGCAACTACAACCACAACAGCTGATCCAACTACAACAACAGCAGCTCCAACCACAACAACAGCTGCTCCAACCACAACTACGGCAACTACAACCACAACAGCTGATCCAACTACAACAACAGTAGCTCCAACTACAACAACAGTAGCTCCAACCACAACAACAGCTGCTCCAACCACAACAACAGCAGCTGAAACCACAACCATAGTTCCTACAACCACAACTACGGCAACTACAACCACAACAGCTGATCAAACTACAACAACAGTAGCTCCAACCACAACAACAGCTGCTCCAACCACAACAACAGCAGCTGAAACCACAACCATAGTTCCTCCAACCACAACTACGGCAACTACAACCACAACAGCTGATCCAACTACAACAACAACTGTTCCAACCACAACAACAGCTGCTCCAACTACAACAACAGCTGCTCCAACCACAACTACGGCAACTACAACCACAACAGCTGATCCAACTACAACAACAGCAGCTCCAACCACAACAACAGCTGGTCCAACCACAACTACAGCAACTACAACCACAACAGCTGATCCAACTACAACAACAGTAGCTCCAACCACAACAACAGCTGCTCCAACCACAACAACAGCAGCTGAAACCACAACCATAGTTCCTCCAACCACAACTACGGCAACTACAACCACAACAGCTGATCCAACTACAACAACAACTGCTCCAACCACAACAACAGCTGCTCCAACCACAACTACGGCAACTACAACCACAACAGCTAATCCAACTACAACCACAGCAGCTCCAACCACAACAGCTGCTCCAACGACAACAACAGCTGCTCCAACAACAACTACGGCAACTACAACCACAACAGCTGATCCAACTACAACAACAGCAGCTCCAACCACAACAACAGCTGCTCCAACCACAACTACGGCAACTACAACCACAACAGCTGATCCAACTACAACAACAGTAGCTCCAACCACAACAACAGCTGCTCCAACCACAACTATGGCAACTACAACCACAACAACTGATCCAACTACAACAACAGCAGCTCCAACCACAACAACAGCTGGTCCAACCACAACTACGGCAACTACAACCACAACAGCTGATCCAACTACAACAACAGTAGCTCCAACCACAACAACAGCTGCTCCAACCACAACAACAGCAGCTGAAACCACAACCATAGTTCCTCCAACCACAACTACGGCAACTACAACCACAACAGCTGATCCAACTACAACAACAACTGCTCCAACCACAACAACAGCTGCTCCAACTACAACAACAGCTGCTCCAACCACAACTACGGCAACTACAACCACAACAGCTGATCCAACTACAACAACAGTAGCTCCAACCACAACAACAGCTGCTCCAACCACAACTACGGCAACTACAACCACAACAGCTGATCCAACTACAACAACAGCAGCTCCAACCACAACAACAGCTGGTCCAACCACAACTACAGCAACTACAACCACAACAGCTGATCCAACTACAACAACAGTAGCTCCAACCACAACAACAGCTGCTCCAACCACAACAACAGCAGCTGAAACCACAACCATAGTTCCTCCAACCACAACTACGGCAACTACAACCACAACAGCTGATCCAACTACAACAACAACTGCTCCAACCACAACAACAGCTGCTCCAACCACAACTACGGCAACTACAACCACAACAGCTAATCCAACTACAACCACAGCAGCTCCAACCACAACAGCTGCTCCAACGACAACAACAGCTGCTCCAACAACAACTACGGCAACTACAACCACAACAGCTGATCCAGCTACAACAACAGCAGCTCCAACCACAACAACAGCTGCTCCAACCACAACTACGGCAACTACAACCACAACAGCTGATCCAACTACAACAACAGTAGCTCCAACCACAACAGCTGCTCCAACCACAACTACGGCAACTACAACCACAACAACTGATCCAACTACAACAACAGCAGCTCCAACCATAACAACAGCTGCTCCAACCACAACTACGGCAACTACAACCACAACAGCTGATCCAACTACAACAACAGTAGCTCCAACCACAACAACAGCTGCTCCAACCACAACAACAGCAGCTGAAACCACAACCATAGTTCCTCCAACCACAACTACGGCAACTACAACCACAACAGCTGATCCAACTACAACAACAACTGCTCCAACCACAACAACAGCTGCTCCAACTACAACAACAGCTGCTCCAACCACAACTACGGCAACTACAACCACAACAGCTGATCCAACTACAACAACAGCAGCTCCAACCACAACAACAGCTGCTCCAACCACAACTACGGCAACTACAACCACAACAGCTGATCCAACTACAACAACAGTAGCTCCAACCACAACAACAGCTGCTCCAACCACAACAACAGCTGCTCCAACCACAACTATGGCAACTACAACCACAACAGCTGATCCAACTACAACAACAGCAGCTCCAACCACAACAACAGCTGGTCCAACCACAACTATGGCAACTACAACCACAACAGCTGATCCAACTACAACAACAACTGCTCCAACCACAACAACAGCTGCTCCAACTACAACAACAGCTGCTCCAACCACAACTACGGCAACTACAACCACAACAGCTGATCCAACTACAACAACAGCAGCTCCAACCACAACAACAGCTGCTCCAACCACAACTACGGCAACTACAACCACAACAGCTGATCCAACTACAACAACAGTAGCTCCAACCACAACAACAGCTGCTCCAACCACAACAACAGCTGCTCCAACCACAACTATGGCAACTACAACCACAACAGCTGATCCAACTACAACAACAGCAGCTCCACACAACAACAGCTGGTCCAACCACAACTATGGCAACTACAACCACAACAGCTGATCCAACTACAACAACAGTAGCTCCAACCTCAACAACAGCAGCTGAAACCACAACCATAGTTCCTCCAACCACAACTACGGCAACTACAACCACAACAGCTGATCCAACTACAACAACAACTGTTCCAACCACAACAACAGCTGCTCCAACTACAACAACAGCTGCTCCAACCACAACTACGGCAACTACAACCACAACAGCTGATCCAACTACAACAACAGCAGCTCCAACCACAACAACAGCTGGTCCAACCACAACTACAGCAACAACAACCACAACAGCTGATCCAACTACAACAACAGTAGCTCCAACCACAACAACAGCTGCTCCAACCACAACAACAGCAGCTGAAACCACAACCATAGTTCCTCCAACCACAACTACGGCAACTACAACCACAACAGCTGATCCAACTACAACAACAACTGCTCCAACCACAACAACAGCTGCTCCAACCACAACTACGGCAACTACAACCACAACAGCTAATCCAACTACAACCACAGCAGCTCCAACCACAACAGCTGCTCCAACGACAACAACAGCTGCTCCAACAACAACTACGGCAACTATAACCACAACAGCTGATCCAACTACAACAACAGCAGCTCCAACCACAACAACAGCTGCTCCAACCACAACTACGGCAACTACAACCACAACAGCTGATCCAACTACAACAACAGTAGCTCCAACCACAACAACAGCTGCTCCAACCACAACTACGGCAACTACAACCACAACAACTGATCCAACTACAACAACAGCAGCTCCAACCACAACAACAGCTGCTCCAACCACAACTACGGCAACTACAACCACAACCACAGTTCCTCCAACCACAACAGCTTCTCCAACCACAACAACAACTGCTCCAACCACAACTACGGCAACTACAACCACAACAGCTGCTCCAACTACAACAACTGCTGTTCAAACCACAACTACGGCAACTACAACCACAACATCTGATCCAACTACAACAACAGCAGCTCAAACCACAACAACAGCTGCTCCAACCACAACCACAGCAGCTGCAACCACAACCACAGTTCCTCCAACCACAACAGCTTCTCCAACCACAACAACAGCTGCTCCAACCACAACAACAGCTGCTACAACCACGACCACAACTGCTCCAACTACAACAACAGCTGCTCCAACTACAACTACAGCTGCTCTAACTACAACAGCTGCTCCAACTACAACAACAGCAGCTCCAACCACAACCACAGCTTCTCCAACAACAACAGCTGCTGCAACCACAACAACTGCTCCAACCACAACAACTTCTCCAACCACAACCACAGCTTCTCAAACCACAACCACAACAACTACAACTACAACCACATCTTCCCCAACCACAACAGCTGCTCCAACTACAACCACCGCGTCTCCAACCACAACCACAGCTTCTCCAACCACAACAACAGCTACTCCAACCACAACAACAGCTGCTCCAACCACAACCACAGCTTCTCCAACCACAACAACAGCTGCTCCAACCACAACTACGGCAACTACAACCACAACAGCTGATCCAACTACAACAACAGTAGCTCCAACCACAACAACAGCTGCTCCAACCACAACTACGGCAACTACAACCACAACAACTGATCCAACTACAACAACAGCAGCTCCAACCACAACAACAGCTGGTCCAACCACAACTACGGCAACTACAACCACAACAGCTGATCCAACTACAACAACAGTAGCTCCAACCACAACAACAGCTGCTCCAACCACAACAACAGCAGCTGAAACCACAACCATAGTTCCTCCAACCACAACTACGGCAACTACAACCACAACAGCTGATCCAACTACAACAACAGCTGCTCCAACTACAACCACAGCTTCTCCAACCACAACTACAGCTGCTCCAACTACAACCACAGCTTCTCCAACTACAACAACAGCAGCTCCAACCACAACCACAGCTGCTCCAACCACGACCACAGCTGCTCCAACTACAACAGCTGCTCCAACTACAACCACAGCTTCTCCAACCACAACTACAGCTGCTCCAACTACAACCACAGCTTCTCCAACTACAACAACAGCAGCTCCAACCACAACCACCGCTTCTCCAACAACAACAGCTGCTCCAACCACAACAACTTCTCCAACCACAACCACATCTTGTCAAACCACAACCACAACAGCTCCAACAACAACCACAGCTTCCCCAACAACAACAGCTGCTCCAACTACAACAGTGGCTCCAACCACAACCAAAGCTTCTCCAACCACAACAACAGCTGCTCCAACAACAACTACAGCTGCTCCAACCATGACCACAACTGCTCTAACTACAACAACATCTGCTCCAACCACGACAACAGCTGCTCCAACTACAACATCAGCTGCTCCAACCACGACCACAGCTGCTCCAACTACAACAACAGCAGCTCCAACCACAACCACAGCTGCTCCAACCACGACCACAGCTGCTCCAACTACAACAGCTGCTCCAACTACAACCACAGCTTCTCCAACCACAACTACAGCTGCTCCAACTACAACCACAGCTTCTCCAACTACAACAACAGCAGCTCCAACCACTACCACAGCTTCTCCAACAACAACAGCTGCTCCAACCACAACAACTTCTCCAACCACAACCACATCTTGTCAAACCACAACCACAACAGCTCCAACCACAACCACAGCTTCCCCAACAACAACAACAGCTGCTCCAACTACAACAGTGGCTCTAACCACAACCACAGCTGCTCCAACCACAACAACAGCAGCTCAAACCACAACCACAGTTCCTCCAACCACAACTACGGCAACTACAACCACAACAGCTGATCCAACTACAACAACAACTGCTCCAACCACAACAACAGCTGCTCCAACTACAACAACAGCTGCTCCAACCACAACTACGGCAACTACAACCACAACAGCTGATCCAACTACAACAACAGTAGCTCCAACCACAACAACAGCTGCTCCAACCACAACTACGGCAACTACAACCACAACAACAGCTGCTCCAACCACAACAACAGCAGCTGAAACCACAACCATAGTTCCTCCAACCACAACTACGGCAACTACAACCACAACAGCTGATCCAACTACAACAACAACTGCTCCAACCACAACAACAGCTGCTCCAACCACAACAACAGCAGCTGAAACCACAACCATAGTTCCTCCAACCACAACTACGGCAACTACAACCACAACAGCTGATCCAACTACAACAACAACTGCTCCAACCACAACAACAGCTGCTCCAACCACAACTACGGCAACTACAACCACAACAGCTAATCCAACTACAACCACAGCAGCTCCAACCACAACAGCTGCTCCAACGACAACAACAGCTGCTCCAACAACAACTACGGCAACTACAACCACAACAGCTGATCCAACTACAACAACAGCAGCTCCAACCACAACAACAGCTGCGCCAACCACAACTACGGCAACTACAACCACAACAGCTGATCCAACTACAACAACAGTAGCTCCAACCACAACAACAGCTGCTCCAACCACTACGGCAACTACAACCACAAACAACTGATCCAACTACAACAACAGCAGCTCCAACCACAACAACAGCTGGTCCAACCACAACTACGGCAACTACAACCACAACAGCTGATCCAACTACAACAACAGTAGCTCCAACCACAACAACAGCTGCTCCAACCACAACTACGGCAACTACAACCACAACCACAGTTCCTCCAACCACAACAGCTTCTCCAACCACAACAACAACTGCTCCAACCACAACTACGGCAACTACAACCACAACAGCTGCTCCAACTACAACAACTGCTGTTCAAACCACAACTACGGCAACTACAACCACAACAGCTGATCCAACTACAACAACAACTGCTCCAACCACAACAACAGCTGCTCCAACTACAACAACAGCTGCTCCAACCACAACTACGGCAACTACAACCACAACAGCTGATCCAACTACAACAACAGTAGCTCCAACCATAACAACAGCTGCTCCAACCACAACTACGGCAACTACAACCACAACAGCTGATCCAACTACAACAACAGCAGCTCCAACCACAACAACAGCTGCTCCAACCACAACTACGGCAACTACAACCACAACCACAGTTCCTCCAACCACAACAGCTTCTCCAACCACAACAACAACTGCTCCAACCACAACAACAGCTGCTCCAACCACAACCACAACTGCTCCAACTACAACAACAGCTGCTCCAACTACAACTACAGCTGCTCTAACTACAACAGCTGCTCCAACTACAACAACAGCAGCTCCAACCACAACCACAGCTTCTCCAACAACAACAGCTGCTGCAACCACAACAACTGCTCCAACCACAACAACGTCTCCAACCACAACCACAGCTTCTCAAACCACAACCACAACAACTACAACTACAACCACATCTTCCCCAACCACAACAGCTGCTCCAACTACAACCACCGCGTCTCCAACCACAACCACAGCTTCTCCAACCACAACAACAGCTACTCCAACCACAACAACAGCTGCTCCAACCACAACCACAGCTTCTCCAACCACAACAACAGCTGCTCCAACCACAACAGCTGCTCCAACTACAACCACAGCAGCTGCAACTACAACCACAGCTGCTCAAACCACAACAACAGCAGCTCCAACAACAACAACAGCTGCTCCAACTACAACATCAGCTGCTCCAACCACGACCACAGCTTCTCCAACTACAACAACAGCAGCTCCAACCACAACCACAGCTGCTCCAACCACGACCACAGCTGCTCCAACTACAACAGCTGCTCCAACTACAACCACAGCTTCTCCAACCACAACTACAGCTGCTCCAACTACAACCACAGCTTCTCCAACTACAACAACAGCAGCTCCAACCACAACCACAGCTGCTCCAACCACGACCACAGCTGCTCCAACTACAACAGCTGCTCCAACTACAACCACAGCTTCTCCAACCACAACTACAGCTGCTCCAACTACAACCACAGCTTCTCCAACTACAACAACAGCAGCTCCAACCACAACCACCGCTTCTCCAACAACAACAGCTGCTCCAACCACAACAACTTCTCCAACCACAACCACATCTTGTCAAACCACAACACAGCTCCAACCACAACCACAGCTTCCCCAACAACAGCTGCTCCAACTACAACAGTGGCTCCAACCACAACCAAAGCTTCTCCAACCACAACAACAGCTGCTCCAACAACAACTACAGCTGCTCCAACCATGACCACAACTGCTCTAACTACAACAACAGCTGCTCCAACCACGACAACAGCTGCTCCAACTACAACATCAGCTGCTCCAACCACGACCACAGCTGCTCCAACTACAACAACAGCAGCTCCAACCACAACCACAGCTGCTCCAACCACGACCACAGCTGCTCCAACTACAACAGCTGCTCCAACTACAACCACAGCTTCTCCAACCACAACTACAGCTGCTCCAACTACAACCACAGCTTCTCCAACTACAACAACAGCAGCTCCAACCACAACCACAGCTTCTCCAACAACAACAGCTGCTCCAACCACAACAACTTCTCCAACCACAACCACATCTTGTCAAACCACAACCACAACAGCTCCAACCACAACCACAGCTTCCCCAACAACAACAACAGCTGCTCCAACTACAACAGTGGCTCTAACCACAACCACAGCTTCTCCAACCACAACAACAGCTGCTCCAACAACAACTACAGCTGCTCCAACCAGGACCACAACTGCTCTAACTACAACAGCTGCTCCAAACACGACAACAGCTGTTCCAACTACAACAACAGCTGCTCCAACTACAACTACAGCTGCTCCAACCACGACCACATCTGCTCCAACTACAACAGCTGCTCCAACTACAACAACAGCTGCTCCAACCACAACCACAGCTTCTCCAACCACAACTACAGCTGCTCCAACTACAACCACAGAATCTCCAACCACAACAGCTGCTTCAACCACAACAACAGCTGCTCCAACTACAACAACAGCTGCTCCAACTACAACAGCAGCTCCAACCACAACCACAGCTTCTGCAACAACAACAGCAGCTGCTCCAACTACAACAACAGCTGCTCCAACCACAACCACAGCTTCTCCAACCACAACTACAGCTGCTCCAACTACAACCACAGCTTCTCCAACCACAACAACAACTGCTCCAACCACAACAACAGCTGCACCAACTACAACATCAGCTGCTCCAACCACGAACACAGCTGCTCCAACTACAACAACAGCAGCTCCAACCACAACCACAGCTGCTCCAACCACGACCACAGCTGCTCCAACTACAACATCTGCTCCAACTACAACCACAGCTTCTCCAACCACAACTACAGCTGCTCCAACTACAACCACAGCTTCTCCAACTACAACAACAGCAGCTCCAACCACAACCACAGCTTCTCCAACAACAACAGCTGCTCCAACCACAACAACTGTTCCAACCACAACAACTTCTCCAACCACAGCTTCCCCAACAACAACAGCTGCTCCAACTACAGCAGTGGCTCCAACCACAACCACAGCTTCTCCAACCACAACAACAGCTGCTCCAACCACAACAGCTGCTCCAACTACAACCACCGCGTCTCCAACCACAACTACAGCTGCTCCAGCCACGACCACAGCTGCTCCAACAACAACAACAAATGCTCCAACTACAACCACAGCAGCTGCAACCACAACCACAGCTTCTCAGACCACAACAACAGCTGCTACAACAACAACTACAGCTGCTCCAACCACGACCACAACTTCTCCAACTACAACAACAGCTGCTCCAACCACGACAACAGCTGCTCCAACTACAACAGTGGCTCCAACCACGACAACAGCTGCTCCAACTACAACAACAGCTGCTCCAACTACAACTACAGCTGCTCCAACCACGACAACAGCTGCTCCAACTACAACAGTGGCTCCAACCACAACCACAGCTTCTCCAACCACAACAACAGCTGCTCCAACCACAACAACTGCTCCACCTACAACAACAGCTGCTCCAACTACAACAACAGCTGCTCCAACTACAACAGCTGCTCCAACCACAACCACAACTTCTCCAACCACAACTACAGCTGCTCCAACTACAACCACAGCTTCTCCAACCACAACAACAGCTGCTCCAACTACAACCACAGCTTCTGCAACAACAACAACTGCTCCAACTACAACAACAGCAGCTCTAACCACAACCACAGCTTCTCCAACAACAACCACAGCTTCTGCAACTACAACAACAGCTGCTCCAACTACAACAACAGCTGCTCCAACTACAACAACAGCAGCTCCAACCACAACCACAGCTGCTCCAACCACGACGACAGCTGCTCCAACCACAACCACAGCTTCTCCAACCACAACTACAGCTGCTCCAACTACAACCACAGCTTCTCCAACCACAACAACTTCTCCAACCACAACAACAGCAGCTCCAACCACAACCACAGCTGCTCCAACAACAACCACAGCTTCTGCAACAACAACAGCTGCTCCAACCACGACAACAGCTGCTCCAACTACAACAACAGCTGCTCCAACCACGACCACAGCTGCTCCAACTACAACAACAGCTGCTCCAACCACGACAACAGCTGTTCCAACTACAACAGCTGCTCCAACTACAACTACAGCTGCTCCAACCACGACCATAGCTGCTCCAACTACAACAACAGCTGCTCCAACTACAACAACAGCTGCTCCAACCACAACCACAGCTTCTTCAACCACAACTACAGCTTCTCCAACCACAACAACAGCTGCTCCAACCACAACAACAGCTGCTCCAACTACAACAACAGCTGCTCCAACCACGACAACAGCTGCTCCAACTACAACAGCTGCTCCAACCACAACAACAGCTGCTCCAACTACAACAACAGCTGCTCCAACTACAACAACAGCAGCTCCAACCACAACAACAGCTGCTTCAACCACAACCACAGCTGCTCCAACTACAACAACAGCAGCTCCAACCACAACCACAGCTTCTCCAACAACAACCACAGCTTCTCCAACAACTACAGCTGCTCCAACTACAACCACAGCTTCTCCAACCACAACAACAGCTGCTTCAACCACAACAGCTGCTCCAACTACAACAACAGCTGCTCCAACTACAACAACAGCAGCTCCAACCACAACCACAGCTTCTCCAACAACAACAGCTGCTCCAACTACAACCACAGCATCTTCAACCACAACCACAGCTTCTCCAACAACAACCACAGCTTCTGCAACAACAACAGCTGCTCCAACTACAACAACAGCTGCTCCAACTACAACAACAGCAGCTCTAACCACCACCACCACAGCTTCTCCAACAACAACCACAGCTTCTGCAACTACAACAACAGCTGCTCCAACTACAACAACTGCTGCTCCAACTACAACAACACCAGCTCCATCTACAACCACAGCTGCTCCAACCACGACGACAGCTACTCCAACTACAACCACAGCTGCTCCAACCACGACGACAGCTACTCCAACTACAACCACAGCTTCTCCAACCACAACAACAACTTCTCCAACCACAACAACAGCTGCTCCAACTACAACATCACCTGCTCCAACCACGACCACAGCTGCTCCAACTACAACAACAGCAGCTCCAACCACAACCACAGCTGCTCCAACAACCACAGCTTCTGCAACAACAACAGCTGCTCCAACTACAACCGCAGCAGCTGAAACCACAACCACAGCTTCTCAGACCACAACAACAGCTGCTCCAACAACAACTACAGCTGCTCCAACCACGACAACAGCTGTTCCATCTACAACAGCTGCTCCAACTACAATTACAGCTGCTCCAACCACGACCATATCTGCTCCAACTACAACAACAGCTGCTCCAACTACAACCACAGCTTCTCCAACCACAACAACAGCTGCTCCAACCACAACAACAGATGCTCCAACCACAACCACAGCTTCTCCAACCACAACTACAGCTGCTCCAACCACAACCACAGCTGCTCCAACCACGGCCACAGCTGCTCCAACTACAACAACAGCTGCTCCAACCACAACCACAGCTTCTCCAACCACAACTACAGCTGCTCCAACTACAACAACAGCTGCTCCAACCACAAACGCAACCACACAACAGCTGCTCCAAGTACAACAACAGCAGCTCCAACTACAACAGCTGCTCCAACCACAACCACAGCTTCTTCAACCACAACTACAGCTTCTCCAACCACAACAACAGCTGCTCCAACACGACCACAGCTGCTCCAACTACAACAACAGCTGCTCCACCACGACAACAGCTGTTCCAACTACAACAGCTGCTCCAACTACAACTACAGCTGCTCCAACCACGACCATATCTGCTCCAACTACAACAACAGCTGCTCCAACTACAACAACAGCTGCTCCAACCACAACCACAGCTTCTTCAACCACAACTACAGCTGCTCCAACTACAACCACAGCTTCTCCAACCACAACAACAGCTGCTCCAACCACAACAACAGATGCTCCAACCACAACCACAGCTTCTCCAACCACAACTACAGCTGCTCCAACCACAACCACAGCTGCTCCAACCACGGCCACAGCTGCTCCAACAACAACAGCTGCTCCAACCACAACCACAGCTTCTCCAACCACAACTACAGCTGCTCCAACTACAAAACAGATGCTCCAACCACAACAGCTGCTCCAACCACAACAACAGCTGCTCCAAGTACAACAACAGCAGCTCCAACCACATCCACAGCTGCTCCAACCACAACAACAGTTTCTCCAACCACAACAACAGCTGCTCCAACCACAACCACAGCTTCTCCAACCACAACTACAGCTGCTCCAACTACAACAACAGATGCTCCAACCACAACAGCTGCTCCAACCACAACAACAGCTGCTCCAAGTACAACAACAGCAGCTCCAACTACAACAGCTGCTCCAACCACAACCACAGCTTCTTCAACCACAACTACAGCTTCTCCAACCACAACAACAGCTGCTCCAACCACGACCACAGCTGCTCCAACTACAACAACAGCTGCTCCAACCACGACAACAGCTGTTCCAACTACAACAGCTGCTCCAACTACAACTACAGCTGCTCCAACCACGACCATATCTGCTCCAACTACAACAACAGCTGCTCCAACTACAACAACAGCTGCTCCAACCACAACCACAGCTTCTTCAACCACAACTACAGCTGCTCCACCTACAACCACAGCTTCTCAACCACAACAACAGCTGCTCCAACCACAACAACAGATGCTCCAACCACAACCACAGCTTCTCCAACCACAACTACAGCTGCTCCAACCACAACCACAGCTGCTCCAACCACGGCCACAGCTGCTCCAACTACAACAACAGCTGCTCCAACCACAACCACAGCTTCTCCAACCACAACTACAGCTGCTCCAACTACAACAACAGATGCTCCAACCACAACAGCTGCTCCAACCACAACAACAGCTGCTCCAAGTACAACAACAGCAGCTCCAACCACATCCACAGCTGCTCCAACCACAACAACAGTTTCTCCAACCACAACAACAGCTGCTCCAACCACAACAGCTTCTCCAACTACAACAACAGTTGCTCCAACCACAACAACAGCTGCTGCAACTACAACTGCTCCAACTACAACAACAGCTGCTCCAACCACAACGACAGCTTCCCCAACCACAACAACAGCTGCTCCTACCACAACAACAGCTGCTGCAACTACAACTGCTCCAACTACAACAACAGCTGCCCCAGCTACAACCACAGCTGCTCCAACCACAACTACATCGGCTCCAACCACAACAACAGTGGCTCCAACCACATCTACATCAGCTCCAACCACAACCAGTCCAGTTCCTGCACTAACAAGGCTGCTGATTTTTAAGTCTAATGAAAATTTCAGCCCAGAGTTGGCAGACTCATCAACATCAGCATTTCAAACACGTTCTGGACATATAAGGAATCGTGTATGTTTACCCTTCTTACTCACGTAACAATTTCAATTTTATTTTTTAAAATTGAATTGATGTAGATAAATAAAGTTAAATGCGGTCTTAAACATATTCAAGCATCACATCATAAAATTTAGATTTTCATTTAAAGGAATATCTATATTTTCTAATTCAACCAATAAAAACCATATATATTCAGTGTTCAACTGTGTTTTTAGCGACATTCTAGGAAATACATTTTCAAAAACTGTATTCTTAACTGGTTTTCTTATTTTAATGTAGCTTGAACCACGTTTCAGAAAAGTGTTCACTTTATTCTTAAGGATTGGAGCTATAAAATTCAGGTAATTAGTCTGGAGTTTGGCCAGGAATAAACACCTTTGTCAGAACTTTGCAGATGTTGACTAAGTATTCTACTCTTTTCCAGTGCGGGATCAATCATCAACTCCGTGGACCTTGAATTTGAGTCATCATCAACTCCTAATGATACACTTATCTCAGACACGTTGGTTACTGAGGCTTCAAATATTACAGAATTTAACATAGATGTTACGACCATCTCTGTCAGCGACCCAGGTAAGAAAAAATTAATATGTTCAAAAAAAAGAAATACTTGCAAAAAAATCCAAAACACACAAACAGAAAAGTTCATGAAAATATTTTTAAAAACGGCAGATCCAACAACAACAGCGGCTCCAACCACAACATCTGTTCCAATTACAACCACCGCAGCTCCAACAACAACCACCGCAGCTCCAAATACAACCACCGCAGCTCCAAATACAACCACCGCAGCTCCAAATACAACCACCGCAGCTCCAAATACAACAGCAGCACCAACCACAACCACATCAGCTCCAACAACAACCACCGCAGCTCCAACAACAACCACCGCAGCTCCAACCACAACCACCGCAGCTCCAAATACAACCACCGCAGCTCCAAATACAACCACTGCAGGTCCAAATACAACAGCAGCTTCAACCACAACAACATCTGTTCCAATTACAACCACCGCAGCTCCAAATACAACAGCAGCACCAACCACAACCACATCAGCTCCAACCACAACCACAGCAGCTTCAACCACAACAACATCTGTTCCAATTACAACCACCGCAGCTCCAAATACAACCACCGCAGCTCCAAATATAACCACCGCAGCTCCAACAACAACCACCGCAGCTCCAACCACAACCACCGCAGCTCCAAATACAACCACCGCAGCTCCAAATACAACAGCAGCACCAACCACAACCACATCAGCTCCAACAACAACCACCGCAGCTCCAACAACAACCACGGCAGCTCCAAATACAACAGCAACTTCAACCACAACATCTGTTCCAATTACAACCACCGCAGCTCCAAATACAACAGCAGCACCAACCACAACCACATCAGCTCCAACCACAACCACAGCAGCTTCAACCACAACAACATCTGTTCCAATTACAACCACCGCAGCTCCAAATACAACCACCGCAGCTCCAAATACAACCACCGCAGCTCCAAATACAACAGCAGCACCAACCACAACCACATCAGCTCCAACCACAACCACAGCAGCTTCAACCACAACATCTGTTCCAATTACAACCACCGCAGCTCCAAATACAACCAACGCAGCTCCAAATACAACCAACGCAGCTCCAAATACAACCAACGCAGCTCCAAGTACAACCACTGCAGCTCCAAATACAACCACCGCAGCTCCAAATACAACCACCGAAGCTCCAACAACAACCACCACAGCTCCAAATACAACCACCGCAGCTCCAAATACAACCACCGCAGCTCCAAATACAACCACCGCAGCTCCAAATACAACCACCGCAGCTCCAAATACAACCACCGCAGCTCCAAATACAACCACCGCAGCTCCAACAACAACCACCGCAGCTCCAAATACAACCACCGCAGCTCCAAATACAACCACCGCAGCTCCAAATACAACCACCGCAGCTCCAAATACAACCACCGCAGCTTCAAATACAACCACCGCAGCTCCAAATACAACCACCGCAGCTCCAACAACAACCACCGCAGCTCCAAATACAACCACGGCAGCTCCAACAACAACCACCGCAGCTCCAAATACAACCACCGCAGCTCCAAATACCACCACCGCAGCTCCAAATACAACCACCGCAGCTCCAACAACAACCACCGCAGCTCCAACAACAACCACCGCAGCTCCAAATACAACCACCTCAGCTCCAAATACAACCACCTCAGCTCCAAATACAACCACCGCAGCTCCAAATACAACCACCTCAGCTCCAAATACAACCACCGCAGCTCCAACAACAACAGCAGCACCAACCACAACCACATCAGCTCCAACAACCACCGCAGCTCCAACAACAACCACCGCAGCTCCAAATACAACCACCGCAGCTCCAAATACAACCACCGCAGCTCCAAATACAACCACCGCAGCTCCAACAACAACAGCAGCACCAACCACAACAAGATCTGCTTCAACCACAACAACAGCAGCTTCAACCACAACAACTCCAACCACAGTTGCTCCCACCTCAACCACAACAGCTCTAACCATAAACACAACTCCAACCACTACAATAGCATCTCCAACCACAACAGTGGCTACATCCACAACCACAGATGCTCCAACCAAACCAACGACTACTCCAACAACACCAACAACTCCTGTGACTACTACAACTACAACAACTCCAGCTCCTCCTCCAGTGTTTGTTGTCGCAGCAACTGTGGTTGAACCATTTGTTGAAGAGTTTAATGACAGATTTAGCGTGCAATTCAAAGCTCTTGAAGTAAAAGTGGTAGCAGTGGTGAGTGGTTCATCCAAAATCTATTGTTATTTAATTTGTTTCATCTGAGGATTATTTTGCTGTGACATTTAACATGTTTTCTCTTTTCCAGTATGATGTTATCTACAGAGCAAGATATGGAATTTTCTTCATCCGGAGTTTTGTCATTGCCTTCAGGTTTGTTTGCTTCTTTTCTTCATTAGTCAAGTCAGTCTACTTGTATATTTTATTCACATTTATAGTGGTATTGACCAACTGGGAACAAAGTGATTTGAAAGACATATTACACCTAATTGATTATTTCCACTACATACGTAGAATTTTAATATTTGAAATCAGGTTGAGCGTTGATCTTTTTTTTTCAGACCTGCCGTCACCAGGTTACGAATGAATGGTACTCAAGCAGAGGTGGGCGTAGAGTTCAATATAACCACACCAGCTGAGACAATCCCAAAGGCTGAAGAGGTTCAACAAACACTAAAGGAGGCCGTGAATAACCCCAACATCACTTTGAATGTCACATTCGACGCGGCTTCCATTCAAATCATACGTAAGAACAAAATGTCAGAAACACATAAATCCAAATATTTAGAGTTACTCAAGTAATCTTACTTTATACTTATATTTTTAATTAGCCTAATTCTCTGCGGAGTAGCATGACTCTAAGTATCTTTAATTTTGTAATTAGGCACATGATTGCTGTAAAGAGTTTATTTCCTACTATAAAAATTTTTGTTTCAAGACCCGAATCCCTTCAAATTCAAATTTTCTGAAGGTCTGATACTGCTATCATTTACGTTTGATCAAAATCATGATATATTGGTAAAATGATCATTTTCGGCACATTTTTGGTCATTACAAATTTTTTTTTTAGGAATCATCTCTGAAAAACATATTTAAGTGTTTATTTCACTCTCAAACTAAAAATACTACAAAATAAATTTGGGGTTATTAAATGTGAACATTTTAATAATTTTCTTGTTTTATATTTTCGGCAATGAAACAGTGAATTTATTGTCAAAAGGAAAAGACAGAAGTTTGAAAACATTGGATTTGACTTTACCAAGTTGCCGACAATTGGCCGTGACGTGTGTAATGCGTCAGTTCAAACTTGAACAGAATCTACACCTGTAAACAATCATCACTCAATAGCCGGGGGACCAGACCTTCTGTATGAAGTGAGAGTACAGAACAGGGGACTGATTTTACCAAGCTATCCTCCAGTGGAACATGACTGGAAAACTTCCAAGCGGAGTGAGAAATTCTGAGGATCTTTGTCATCGCTAATTGTCTTTTAAAATATGATTTCAAAACAATTATTTCATTCATTGTTATTTTTATCACTATGAAGAAAAAGCCGTTGACTTTCAGGTTAATTTTGAAACAACAAATCAAGCAATTCCTCTCTTTATTTATCAGCACAATAGTAACTGAAAAAAGAGTTCAAAGAGAATTAATTCTGTGCAAAATATGCACAGAATGATTTAAAAAAAACACTCACACACTAACTACATAGTTTAATTTCATTATAATAAATTTTAAGTTGATTACTTATTGCTTTCACTTTAACAAAAAATGATTAGTTCATGTCTTGTAATGGTAAAGAAAAATGATACATTTTACATTTCACTTTTTTGTTATTTTTCTGGAAACTAATATGTTGCTTTCAATGCTTGTGTTTATTTGGCAGGTGTACCTGCAACTGCAGCCCCGGTAGTTTTGCAAAACACAACAATTACAACAAATGAAACTGCTGCAAACATCACTACCGGAGCAGCAACAACAAATCCTGGAACATCAGCTGCCAGCAATGCAACAAATGAGACTGTTGCAAACATCACTACCGGAGCAGCAACAACAAATCCTGGAACATCAGCTGCCAGCAATGCAACAACTGTAGCACTTACTACAGTTACAACCACTACAACAACAACCACAACTGTGGTGCAAACACTAAGGCAGCTGACCTTTAGGTCTCCCGGAGAGACCTTTACAACTGATTTGCTCGACTCAACCTCAACAGCATTTAAAAACCGAGCTGCACTTTTAAAGTCCACTGTGAGTAATTTTCTTTTAACTTTGTAACATCTAACTGATCACAACATATTTGCTACATACAGTATATTGAGCAATGTGGAAAGAGACTTTCAAAAAAATGTAAAATTAAAGTATATTTTTATTGCGATTCTACTGAAATATATTCCTCATTCTGTATATTTTGTATGAATAATTTCAATAATGTTCTAAATAACACAACTTTGTTTAGTTGTGTTATTTACACATCGAGCATCGCGATTTGATTCGAACTTTCTTCTTTCTTCAGCTTGAACCATTCTACAGGCGATCATTTTCTTCATTCAGTGATCTAACAGTGAAGTCTTTCAGGTAATTTGTTTACAGTATTCTAATTATTATTTTCTTTTAGTTCTTTTAACTCACATCATATGTTTTTTGTTGTATAGAAACGGCTCTATCATCAATGAAATGGAGCTTCGATTTGCATCTGCATCTGCTCCTACTGGCTCCGAAATTGCACAAGTTTTGGTGAACGCAGCTTCAAACATCACTGCCTTCACCATTGATACTACTAGCATTTCTGTCGACGGAACACGTAAGCTAAAATAAATGATCAAGATAATTATCTACATAAGCCGTTTTGATATCGAACATTTGGTTGACATCGTGTTTTGCTTTCTCAATGTTTACAGAAGTGTCAAGTGGAGCAAGCCACAAGATCAGCCTCATCATGGCTTTCTGCGTGGTCCTGTTGTCATGGATGTTGTCAAGTCAACACTAACATCTCTGCTAATTTCTAGTGGATGATCTGCTTAAAAAATAGAAACAACCCAAGACATCACGAGAGGGCATTTTGTTAAGAGATACAATTAGTCAACATTTTCCAAGCATGTTTCAGCAAATCATCAGTCAAAACCTTTAATACTGCTAAAACCACATTTATTATTTGTTCTACTTGTGAGGATGTTATTAGGATCTTGTTACTTTGGCAGCAAAATCCTGGATCTAGTCTATGAAGAAAAAACTTAATGTATTTCCTGCTTCTATTGAAAGAGTCATTTATGTTGTCTAAAGAAGTGATGTAAGATTTAAAGCTTTTTCTCTCAAAGTAACTACTTTATTCTTACACAAAGTTTAATTATTGTGTTCATTATTTATATATGTATATTTGAAATACTATTTAAGGAATTGCCTGAATAGCTGATTAGTAGGTGATAATTTATGCAAGAATTCTCCATAAATGAATGCTGTGGGATGAAAGAAAAGAAGAACATCTGAAACTTTTGTGATTATTTAGTTTTTCTTTTCAATATAAACTTGTAAATGAGATCGGTTGTTTCTGTATGCAGTATTCCCTTAAGTGTTATGCAATCATATTTACATGTAACTAATGAAGAAATTTAAGAACAGGCACTATCAACATTAAATTACACTCATATGAGATTATTGCAATATTTATCTTTTGGGTGAAAGATGTGTTGAAGGGTATAAAATCAATGTAGCTGTTTCCAATAAAGAAATTGATATGTAAAAGTATTGCTTCTATTCTATTCTGAACAACAAATACGCCACCGAGTCATTGGGCTTGGACATAGCTGAAAAAAAAAAGAAAAGTCAGATTTTTTAAATACTAAATCTGATGTCTGATTTAAAATTTTCTTTTTTTTCTGTTTTTTTAGAAAAGTACAAATCACATGAAGCATTTTCAAAGACATGCTTTTTCTTTCAATCATCCCCTCTTGAAATTTATATGAATTCAAAGTCCAAATAAATACAATCTGTAAACCATGTTTATAAAACAAGATGGCAGGCCTTGGATGGGCTGAAGTGTGGGAGACCAAAGAAATCAAAAATTTAAAATGTCTCCAAAACTATCAATGCATTGATAACATTGCTTTATTGTCAACCCTAGTTCTCTCTATCTCTTTGATACAGATAAAAAGAACATTTTCTTTTTTATGCCTAAAAATGCACCATAAGTAGTTAAAAAATAACCTGTACTCTTTTGAATATGTAACATACATCCCACGAACATCAAATATTTACATCATGTTGCAAGAACTGTAATTCAATTTTTTACTTTTGATATGAGCTTATCACCAGAGCCACAGCTACATCATTTCATTTGTCATTTTTGTGCCATAATCAAACAGTTCATTTAAAATGGTCTGATTTCAAATTGCTTTTCCTTCATTACACTGTTAATACTTTCAATAATATTTTTACACATCCCTACTAGCGGCACCAATAAGCTTAAACATTACTGTAGTTGTGCAGAACTTGTTTTCCTTTCATTTGGTGCATGCCTTGACCAAAAAAGGAGTTTCATGAGACATACCTTCGCAAAAGTAAGCAATTCTAAAACAACACTGATTTTCACAATGTCTCAACTTTTCTTTGGGGCTTTCATGTCAACTTCGTGAGCAATATTTTAAACTAGCTGGTTTAAAATATCAAATTTATACATCGCTTTGTATTTATGAATGACAGACACCATATTTAAGTGTTAAATAAAATGATTGATCAGGTTCTCAGAACTTGAGTAACCCTTTAAAGACTTATTAAAGACTAAGATCATCAGCCACCATGATGTAGAACACAGTAAAGTACCAAATGTCACAGCAGGAGAAGCAGGTAGAAAATCAGAATAACAAAGTTTGTGCACAAACAATAAGTCTCACTTCATCTTAGGCGTGTCTGTCCCTCATGCATTTTTTGTTTTTGTTTTGTTTTCCTTCACTCCTCACAGTGGGTATCCAGAAATTTTACTCCAGCAAGAGTTTTGATATCTTATAGAAGATAATGTTTAACTAATCTTCATAAAATGTGTGGGGGGGGGTACCACAAAGCAGGGTGCTTATGAGACACAAGTGGATCTGGGTTGACATTATTTGGCCCTGCAGTCTGGTTCCGCGTCAATCTTTCCATGACCAGAGGACAGATTCTTAACAAAATACTTTCTTACTCTTGCTTGAGTATTTTTTGGATAGTTACGTGTTAACTCCATGTAAAGTTATGCTTTCTCTTTCTTTTTTTTCTTCTTCTGTCAACTTTCAAGCATTCAGTTTATTTACCGTAAAATAACCTGAATGCTTCATCAGGCTGACCCTGTTCTGCATGGGACATTTCTGGGGACATTTCTGGAGCCTCTCAAGGTCATCGCGGAAAGGAAAAGTGCTTCACAAACAAAAAACGAAAACCAAAGCAAATACAAGGTGTCTTCAACCTACTTCTAAGCTTCTGTTAAAATACAGAATATTAAATAAATGTTTGCTTTGTTTTTTTTTTTAATTATTATTCAAATCTAATCTTTGGACATTGAATGAAGTAATAAAACAATCCTTAGAAAATGTCTATATTCTGGCATTAAAGGAATAAAAACACAATTATTTTTGTATCCGTCAAGTCAAATTATGAGAGAAAGAATTATCATGTTTTTAAAAAAAGTAAATTTAAAACTTCCAATGTCAAACAAAAGACTCTTTCAGTTGTAGGGTTTTCTTTTCTGAGTCAGTTTTGAGAAAATCATGAAGGCCTCCAATAGGGAATGCCACCTTTTACTCGGCTTTTCTGACCACAGGAATCCTTTGTTTGCTGCTGACGTAGTTCATGCACTCAAGCAAATACAATATAAATCTCCTTAATACCAATACTGAAAACATACTTGTGTATTTATGGAATTTCAGCTGATGTTAACACAAGCAAGCTGCTGTCTTGTTTATGATCTTTCTTGCGGCATGTTTGTGGTGGTTTGGCCAGTTTTGCTGCTATTTATATATCAGGATGAAGAGTTTTCCCAAAAACAATTTCTGTGTTCTTAAATAATAGTTGAAAAAACAACAAAAAACTTCCAAATATGTTTGATTTCAAATAGATTTTATATCAAAGATTGGTATGTAATGTTGCATGGTTTTGGATTTAAAGTGTACGGATACTGCTGGTTAAATTTTTCATATTAGTATTAGAGAAAAGAAGTAGATAGTATTATTATTATTGTATTTTAACCACTACACATATCTTAACAACATGGGGCATCTGTATACGTTATATTAAAAGTTGGGAAATATAATATCTTTATAAAATTTTATTCATTCGTTTTTGTATTTGTTTTTTTACTTTTACTCTCACATTGTCAAAAGGACGAATAAAAACGACTGAAAGGCTTTCAAAAGGTTAAGTGGTTTGTGTAACTCTTCAAATATTGTGGAAAATGTAAAATTTAGAACATTTTGAACAGTGAATTTCTGTTTCTTTTTGAACCAGCTGACTTAAAACTGCAATAGCTCAAAAAAATCTAATGTAGCAAAAACTTTTGTTTTAAACTTGAGAAATCTCTTAGTGACATCTACAACAGAAACATCTCTGATTTACTGTACATTTTATTGTCATACTCTTAAACTGACTTAACACATTATTTGTTGTTGAATATAAAGTTTATTCCATTTAACAAGTTTGTGCCAATATAAATTAATGTTACAGTGTTTGAAAAAATTAAACATGACGTCTTAATGATGTATTTGTATACAATGAAGTGTTGGATGTGAGAGAAACACGTCACAGCCACACCTTTGCATTCTTGCCCTTATGAATACTATTCACACAACACACATGCAGTTTAAAAGCTTTTCATCTATGAGAAAAGGTCTGTCTAAATGGAACTAGAACCTATAATTAGTTTTTGAATACATCAGAAACTTTGTCTGTAACTTAAAACTTTGCACAAAACAATCTGTTCAGCTTTATAAAATTCTAGATTTCATAGCATCTGTGCTAAAAAAGACACATATCAGTGTCTTTGAAAAAAAAAGAATAAGAACCTATGGGGAAAATTAAAGTGTAAATTACTAAAACAACCAAGTAATTTGGTAAAACGCCTTATGTAACTATGAAACCCTCTGTCATTAGAAGGTGTCACACCTCTTTGCATAAACAGGACAAGATAATGACGTCTGGTTTGTTCACTTTGAACAAACCAGATTTGACAATAGGAATGCAAACCAAATTACCATTGTGGCTTTTTTTCATTCTTCTGACACCAACAATTCAAAAAAAATTTTTTTCAACCTGCGTCAAACTTGCAATAGACAGGTAATATATAAGGTTCAGCAGCAGATTGGTTGACCAAGAGTTAGAGGAGAAGCAGGAGAGAGTTAGAGGAACTTTTGAAATCAGCTACTACTTTGGGTAAGTACATTTCATAGTCTAATAATGTAAGGTTTTGTAATTCACATGTGCATAAAAATTCAAGGCTTTAGCTCTTCTTTGAGAAAATGATTTTGATGCGATTTGTGTTTAAGTTTCTCGCTGTCATTGTTTAGCTGTAATTTACCCCCCCCTCAAGACAACATTGATAAACAAAAAAGCCTGCTGTGTGAAGTTGCCAATAAATTTCCTAGATATTGATAAAGCTGTAATTTCCATTTAATGCAAATGTGAATTGGAATGAATGACCGGACTTACGTGTATTTATGAGTCTTCAGTATTGGCAAAATGACTAAATATGTAACATTATGTAACAATATGTAACCTGTGGGGTTTAACAACTTTTAATTAACAATAAAGTGTAGATTATCACTGGGAACAAAATTTTGATGACAAAATATAATCTACAGAATACCTTGGCAAACCGTTAAATGACTGTAACATATTTAAAGTTTTTTTAACTACATCAATATGGAAATATGTACTGCTTTTTTTTTAAATGTTTTAATTTTTAAAAGTTTTAATTATTTTAATTTCCAATCATGAAAGAACATTTTTTGTTAACAACCTTAAAAACCTAAAGAAGACATTGAATATGAATAAATACATTTGATGCGTGTTATATTTTGATAATTGTTTGATGATCGACTGACAGATACTCACAAAATGTGTTGAAATTTTTCATTGTCTTCTGGTGAGGCCAGTTGAAGGCTGCTTTATTTTGTCTGTGTTTATTTAAACAGTTTAGAATTTGTTACAGTTGATTATTTACAATTTAAACAATTTATTAAAATTTAGTTATAATATATTGTTTACAATTAACCAAAATAAATATCAGTTATGTTCTTTTTGTTTTTAAAATGGCTGTTTAGAAGAAAATTGAATTTATCTATTTAGTTGGTGGAAGAAATTATTGTCTGTAAAGTTACAAGTGTTGATGTGTTAAAACATTTTAGGACACAGATTGAAAATGGGGCCTAAAGGAATCTGGATGATACTACTAATACTAAATGGTAAGTTCACAGGAGTAAATCCTTAAAACAACTGTGTAAAAATGTAGTAGCAAAATAACAGTGTAATATAATAAAAACACTTTTCCAACATAAACCAACCGACAGCAAGTACAACGCTGATGGTTGCACAGCTTGCAATCACATCTGCACCAACCACGACAACAGCTGCTCCAACCACAACTACAGAAGCTCCAACCACAACTACAGAAACTCCAACCACAACCACAGCTGCTCCAACCACAACAACAGCTGCCACAACCATGACAACAGCTGCTCCAACCACGACAACAGCTACTCCAACCACAACAACAGCAGCTTCAACCACAACAACAGCTGCTCCAACCACAAGCACAGCTCCTCCAACCACAACAACAGCAGCTCCAACCACAACAACAGCAGCTCCAACCACAACCACATCAGCTCCAACGACTACAACAGCTGCTCCAACCACAACTACAGAAGCTCCAACCACAATCACAGCTGCTCCAACCACAACAGCTGCTCCAACCACAACAGCAGCTCCAACCACAACAACAGTGTCTACAACCACAACTACAACAGCACCAACCACAACAGCTGCTCCAACTACAACAACAGCTGCTCCAACCACAACTACAGCTTCTCCAACCACAACAACAGCTGCTCCAACCACAACAGCAGCTCCAACTACAACCACAACAGCTGCTCCAACTACAACAGTTGCTCCAACCACAACCACAGCTTCTCCAACCACAACTACAGCTTCTCCAACCACAACAACACCTGCTCCAACTACAACCACAGCTGCTCCAACCACAACAACAGCTTCTCCAACCACGACAACAGTGTCTCCAACCACAACCACAACAGCACCAACAGCAACAGCTTCAACCACAACAACAGCGGCTCCAACCACAATTACAGCGGCTCCAACCACAACAGAAGTTCCAACCACAACAGCAGGTCCAACCACAACTACGGCGGCTCCAACCACAACTACAGCAGCTTCAACCACGACCTCAGATTCTCCAACCAGAACTACAGCTGCTCCAACCGCAATTACAGCGGCTCCAACCACAACAGCAGCTCCAACCACAACAACAGCGGCTCCAACCACGACCACAGATGCTCCAACTACAACCATAGCCGTTCCAAAATTAATAAGACAACTGAGTTTCACGTCTAATGAAAATTTTACTCCTGATTTGGGTGACCCATCATCAGAAGCATTCAGAGCACGCTCTGACAAAATTAAAAAGACAGTATGTATACAATTCTTTCTCACAGTTTCCCTTGTCATTTTGAAAAACAATTTTTGCTGCATAATTTAATAACATTTTCAGCATAAGTGATGTTTTGTTTTTCTGCACAAACTAACAATGGGCCTTTTTTTACAATTTAAATAAAGACAAACAATGTCTTGAAGACTATAAAACTTATAGCATATCTAGAATATTGTCTCAATATTTGCATCACACCAAATCATTTGAATTATTAAAGAAACCTTTTGTGACGTCTTCGTAAAACAATTAAACAAAATGCTTTAACTATATTAATGTGTAGTAAGTCATATTCTGAAAAAAACCCAACTGCCTTCAATCTGACTTATTTTGAATTCTTTTTTATGTAGCTCGAACCAGTCTTCAAACGAACACTCCATGCCTTTTAGGGGTGGGACGCATTATGTTCAGGTAATTTCTTTGTAGTTTGCCCATCAAATCATGAACATCATCATAAGACACTTGTAGACTTTAAAAAAACTGTTCTACTCTTTTCCAGTGCGGGATCAATCATCACCTCAGTGGACCTTGAATTTGAGTCATCATCAACTCCTAATGATACACTTATCTCAGAAACGATGGTTACTGAGGCTTCAAATATTACAGAATTTAATGTGGATGTTACAACCATCTCTGTCAGCAATCCAGGTAAGAATAAATTAATACGTTCAAGAAAACCAAAGCTGCAAAACAAATAAAAAAACACTAACAGAAAATTTCATGAAAATATGTTTAAAAACGGCAGATCCAACAACAACCACAGCTGCTCCAACCACCACCACTGCTGCTCCAACCACAACAACAGCTGCTCCAACAACAACCACATCAGCTCCAACCACAACCAGCTGATCCAACTACAACAACAGTGGCTCCAACCACAACTACAGCTCCTCCAACCAGCACTACAGCAGCTCCAACAACAACAGCAGATCCAACCACCACCACAGCTGCTCCAACCACAACCACTGCTACTCCAACCACAACCACAGCTGCTCCAACCACAACCACAGCTGCCCCAACGACAACCACAGCTGCTCCAACAACTACAGCTGCTCCAACCACAACCACATCAGCTCCAACCACAACCACTGCTGCTCCAACCACAACCACATCAGCTCCAACCACAACCACTGCTGCTCCAACCACAACCACTGCTGCTCCAACCACAACCACTGCTGCTCCAACCACAACCACATCAGCTCCAACCACAACCACTGCTGCTCCAACCACAACCACTGCTTCTGCAGTGACCACCACAGCAGCTTTAACCAAAACTACAGCAGCTCCAACCACAACACAGTGGCTCCAACCACAACTACAGCTCCTCCAACCAGCACTACAGCAGCTCCAACAACAACAGCAGATCCAACCACCACCACTGCTGCCCCAACCACAACCACAGCTGCCCCAACTACAACCACATCTGCTCCAACCACAACCATATCTGCCAACCACAACCACATCAGCTCCCACCACAACCTCTGCAGCTCCAACCACAACCACATCAGCTCCAACCACCACCACTGCAGCTCCAACCACCACCACTGCTGCTCCAACAACAACTGCTGTTCCAACCACAACCTCAGCAGCTCCAACCACAACCACAGCAGCTCCAACCACAACAACAGTTGCTCCAACCACAACTACAGCAACTCCAACGACAACCTCAGCAGATCCAACCACCACCACAGCTGCTCCAACCACCACCACTGCGTCTCCAATCACCACTACTGCTGCTCCAACCACAACCACAGCTGCCTCAACGACAACCACAGCTGCTCCAACCACAACGACAGTTGCTCCAACTACAACAACAGCTGCTCCAACAACTACATCTGCTCCAACCACAACCATATCTGCTCCAACCACAACCACATCAGCTCCAACCACATCAGCTCCCACCACAACCTCTGCAGCTCCAACCACAACCACATCAGCTCCAACCACCACCACTGCAGCTCCAACCACCACCACTGCTGCTCCAACAACAACTGCTGCTCCAACCACAACTCAGCAGCTCCAACCACAACCACAGCAGCTCCAACCACAACAACAGTTGCTCCAACCACAACTACAGCAACTCCAACGACAACCACAGCAGCTCCAACCACAACCACAGCAGCTCCAACCACAACAACAGTTGCTCCAACCACAACTACAGCAACTCCAACGACAACCACAGCTGCTCCAACCACAACGACAGTTGCTCCAACTACAACAACAGCTGCTCCAACAACTACATCTGCTCCAACCACCACCACTGCTGCTCCAACCACCACCACTGCTGCTCCAACCACCACTACTGCTGCTCCAACAACAACTGCTGTTCCAACCACAACCACAGCAGCTCCAACCACAACCTCAGCAGCTCCAACCACCACCACAGCTGCTCCAACCACCACCACTGCTTCTCCAACCACCACCACTGCTGCTCCAACAACAACTGCTGTTCCAACCACAACCACAGCAGCTCCAACCACAACCACAGCAGCTCCAACCACAACCACAGCAACTCCAACGACAACCTCAGATGCTCCAACCACCACCACTGCTGCTACAACCACCACCACTACTGCTCCAACAACAACCACTGCTGCTCCAACCACCACCACTTCAGCTCCAACCACAACCACTGCTGCTCCAACCACCACCACTTCAGCTCCAACCACAACCACTGCTGCTCCAACCACAACCACAGCAGCTCCAACCACAACCACAGCAGCTTCAACCACAACAACAGTGGCTCCAACCACAACTACAGCAGCTCCAACAACTACCTCAAAAGCTCCAACCACAACCACATCAGATCCAACCACCACCACTGCTGCTCCAACCACAACCACTTCAGCTTCAACCACCACCACTGCTTTTCCAACCACAACCACTGCTGCTGCAACGACCACCACAGCTGCTCCAAGCACAACCACCTCTACTCCAACCAGCACATCAGCTGCTCCAACCACCACTACTGCTGCTCCAACAACAACCACTTCATTTCCAACCAATACTACAGCAGCTCCAACTACAACAACTACATCTCCACCATTAATAAGGCTGCTGATTTTTAAGTCTGATCAAGTATTTGACTCAAATTTGGGAGACCCATCAACATCTGCATTCAAAACACGTTCTGCAAACATCCGGAATCGTGTATGTTACTATTTCTTACACACATTACAATTTACATTCTACATTTTAAAAATTAATCCTACATGAATTTCTACTTTATTGTATGATTATGAAAGATATTTTTTGTTTCTCTTCAAACTAAAAAGGTGAATTATGTTTTCTTCTAAATTAAAGATCTTTTAATGATTAAAATTATTATAAATCCTCCTGCTTACCTACAATGTGTCTAAAGTTTCTCAAGTATAAAAACATATAATTTAATTTGTCTATATAAACCAATGTAACAAAATGTATTCATTGTACCAATGTTTTTAGTAAGAAATATTCGGAGAAGTATATTTTCAAATTTTGTAAACTTAATTTTTTTTAATCCATGTAGCTTGACCCACTGTTCAGAAGAGCTCTGCCCTCATTCCTAAAGACTGGAGCAATAAGATTCATGTAAGTCTTTGTAGTTTGCTCAAGAAATTACAACTTTCTTATGAAACACTTTTTGACATTCTACTACATTACAGGTCAGGATCAATTATCAACTCTGTGGACCTTGAATTTGAATCATCACCTACTCCTTATGATATACAAATTAGAGAGGTTTTGGTGAACGATGATTCAAGCATCACAGAATTCAACATATTACAAGAAACGGTTGCTATTAGTGACCCAGGTAAGAAGAAAATTTAGATTTAAGAAAATTTTACATTTATGAAAATAATGAGACAAAGAAAGCAATGACCACACTCTATGAAAAATAAATATATCAACACAAAATTAATGGAAAACTTGTTTGAAAATGAGCTGATTACATTTTTTAAATTAATTACAATAAAGCAACCACAACAGAAGCTCCAACCACCACCACTGCTACTCTAACAACAACCACAACAGCTCCAACCACAACCACAAAAGATCCAACAACCAGCACTGCTGCTCCAACCACAACCACTGCTGCTCCATCCACCACCAAAGCAGCTCCAACCACAACCACTGCTGCTCCAACCACAACAACATCAGATCCAACAACCAGCACTGCTGCTCCAACCACCACCACTGCTGCTCCAACAACAACCACAACAGCTCCAACCACAACCACATCAGATCCAACAACCAGCACTGCTGCTCCAACCACAACCACTGCTGCTCCATCCACCACCACAGCGGCTCCAACCACAACCACTGCTGCTCCAACCACAACAACATCAGATCCAACAACAGCACTGGCTCTAACCACAACCACATCATCTCCAATCACAACCACTGCTTCTCCAACCGCCACCACTTCAGCTCCAACCACCACTGCTTCTCCAACCGCCACCACTTCAGCTCCAACCACCACTGCTGTTCCAACCACAACCACAGGAGCTCCAACCACCACCACATCTGCTCCATCTACCACCACAGCTGCACCAACCACCACTGCTGCTCCAACCACCACCACAGCAGCTCCAACAACAACCACAGCAGCTCCAACCACAACCACTGCTGCTACAACCACAACCACTGCTGCTCCAACCACAACCACAGCAGCTCCAACCACATCCACTGCTGCTCCAACCACAACCACATCAGATTCAACCACAACCACATCAGCTCCAACCACCACCACAGCGGCTCCAACCACCACCACTGCTGCTCCAACCACAACCACATCAGATTCAACCACAACCACAGCAGCTCCAACCACTACCACTGCTGCTCCAACCACTACCTCTGCTGCTCCAACAACAACCACATCAGCTCCAACCACAACCATTGCTGCTCCAACCACAACCACATCAGCTCCAACGACTACCACTGCTGCTCCAACCACATCCACTGCTGCTCCAACCACAACCACAACAGCTCAAACAACAACCACATCAGCTCCAACCACAACCACTGCTGCTACAACCACCACCACTGCTGCTCCTACCACAACCACAACCACATCAGCTCCAACAGCAACCACATCAGCTCACACCACCACTGCTACTCCAACCACAACCACATCTGCTCCAACCACAACCACATCTGTTCTGACAACAACCACATCAGCTCCAATCACAACCACATCTGCTCCAACCACCACCACAGCTGCTCCAACCACAACCACATCAGCTCCAACCACAACCACATCTGCTCCAACCACCACAACTGCTGCTCCAACCACCACCACAGCGGCTCCAACCACCACCACTGCTGCACCAACCACAACATCAACTCCAACCACAACCACAGGAGCTCCAACCACCACCACATCTGTTCCATCCACCACCACAGCTGCACCAACCACCACTGCTGCTCCAACCACCACCACAGCAGCTCCAACAACAACCACATCAGCTCCAACCACAACCACTGCTGCTACAACCACCACCACTGCTGCTCCTACCACAACCACAACCACATCAGCTCCAACCACAACCACAGCAGCTCCAACCACATCCACTGCTGCTCCAACCACAACCACATCAGATTCAACCACAACCACATCAGCTCCAACCACCACCACTGCTGCTCCAACCACAACCACATCAGATTTAACCACAACCACATCAGCTCCAACCACTACCACTGCTGCTCCAACCACTACCACTGCTGCTCCAACAACAACCACATCAGCTCCAACCACAACCATTGCTGCTCCAACCACAACCACATCAGCTCCAACGACTACCACTGCTGCTCCAACCACATCCACTGCTGCTCCAACCACAACCACAACAGCTCCAACAACAACCACATCAGCTCCAACCACAACCACTGCTGCTACAAACCACCACCACTGCTGCTCCTACCACAACCACAACCACATCAGCTCCAACAGCAACCACATCAGCTCACACCACCACTGCTACTCCAACCACAACCACATCTGCTCCAACCACAACCACATCTGTTCTGACAACAACCACATCAGCTCCAATCACAACCACATCTGCTCCAACCACCACAACTGCTGCTCCAACCACCACAACATCAGCTCCAACCACCACCACAGCTGCTCCAACCACAACCACATCAGCTCCAACCACAACCACATCTGCCAACCACCACAACTGCTGCTCCAACCACCACAACATCAGCTCCAACCACCACCACAGCTGCTCCAACCACAACCACATCAGCTCCAACCACAACCACATCTGCTCCAACCACCACAACTGCTGCTCCAACCACCACCACAGCGGCTCCAACCACCACCACTGCTGCACCAACCACAACATCAACTCCAACCACCACCACATCTGTTCCATCCACCACCACAGCTGCACCAACCACCACTGCTGCTCCAACCACCACCACAGCAGCTCCAACAACAACCACAGCAGCTCCAACCACAACCACTGCTGCTACAACCACCACCACTGCAGCTCCTACCACAACCACAACCACATCAGCTCCAACAACAACCACATCAGCTCCAACCACAACCACTGCTGCTCCAACCACAACCACATCAGATCCAACCACCACCGCTGCTGCTCCAACCACAACCACATCTGCTCCAACCACAACCACTGCTCCTCCAACCACAACAACAGTGGCTCCAACCACAACTACAGCAGCTCCAACTACAACCACATCAGATTCAACCACAACCACATCAGCTCCAACCACCACCACTGCTGCTCCAACCACAACCACGTCAGATTCAACCACAACCACATCAGCTCCAACCACTACCACTGCTGCTCCAACCACAACCATTGCTGCTCCAACCACAACCATAGCAGCTCCAACCACAACCACATCAGATCCAACCACCACCGCTGCTGCTCCAACCACAACCACATCTGCTCCAACCACAACCACTGCTCCTCCAACCACAACAACAGTGGCTCCAACCACAACTACAGCAGCTCCAACTACAACCACATCAGATTCAACCACAACCACATCAGCTCCAACCACCACCACAGCGGCTCCAACCACCACCACAGCGGCTCCAACCACCACCACTGCTGCTCCAACCACAACCACATCAGCTCCAACCACTACCACTGCTGCTCCAACAACAACCACATCAGCTCCAACCACAACCATTGCTGCTCCAACCACAACCACATCAGCTCCAACGACAACCACAGCAGCTCCACCCACAACCACTGCTTCTCCAACCACAACAGCAGCTCCAACCACAACAACTACATCTCCACCATTAATAAGGCTGCTGATTTTTAAGTCTGATCAAGTATTTGACTCAAATTTGGGAGAACATCATCTGCATTCAAAACACGTTCGGCAAACATACGGAGTCATGTATGTTACTATTTTTTACAAACATTACAATTTACATTCTACATTCTAAAAATTAATTCTTCTACATGAATTTCTACTTTATTGTATGATTATGAAAGATATTTTTTGTTTCCCTTCAAACTAAAAAGGTGAATTATGTTTTCTTCTAAATTAAAGATCTTTAAATGATTATAAATTATTATAAATCCTCCTGCTTACCTACAATGTGTCTAAAGTTTCTCAAACATAACATTTATTTAAGTTGTCTATATAAACCAATGTAACAAAATGTATTCATTGTACCAATGTTTTTAGTAAGAAATATTCGGAGAATTATATTTTCAAATTTTGTAAACTTAATTTTTTTTTAATCCATGTAGCTTGACCCACTGTTCAGAAGAGCTCTGCCCTCATTCCTAAAGACTGGAGCAATAAGATTCATGTAAGTTCTTTGTAGTTTGCTCAAGAAATTACAAACTTTCTTGTGAAACACTTTTTGACATTATCTAATTCTACTACATTTACAGGTCAGGATCAATTATCAACTCTGTGGACCTTGAATTTGAATCATCATCTACTCCTAATGATACACAAATTATAGAGGTTTTGGTGAACGATAATTCAAGCGTCACAGAATTCAAGATACTACAAGAAACGATTGTTATTGGTGACCCAGGTAAGAAGAAAATTTAAATTTAAGAAAATTTTACATTTATGAAAATAATGAGACAAAGAAAAATAAATATATCAACACAAAATTAATGGAAAACTTGTTTGAAAATTAGCTGATTATATTTTTTGAATTTAAATTACCAATAAAGCAACCACAACAGAAGCTCCAACCACCACCACAGTGGCTCCAACCACAACCACTGCTGCTCCAACCACAACAACAGCGACTCCATCTACAACCACATCAGCTCCAACTTCAACAACAGCTGCTTCAACCACAACAGGTGTTCCAACCACAACAGCTGCTTCAACCACAACAGCTGCTTCAACCGCAATAGTTGCTTCAACCACAACAGAGACCCCATCCACCACAGCTGCTTCAACCACAACAGCTGCTTCAACTGCAACAGCACCTTCCACCACAACTACAACAGCTCCAACCACAACAACAGCGACTCCAATCACGACCACATCAGCTCCAATCACAACCACATCAGCTCCAACTTCAACAACAGCTGTTCCAACCACTACAGCAACTCCATCCACCACAGCTGCTTCAACAACAACAGCTGCTTCAAACCACAACAGCTGCTTCAACCACAACAGTTGCTTCAACCACAACAGCGACTCCATCCACAACAGCTGCTTCAACCACAACAGCGACTCCATCCACCACAGCTGCTTCAACCACAACAGCTGCTTCAACCACAACAGCGACTCCATCCACCACAGTTGCTTCAACCACAACAGCGACTCCATCCACAACAGCTGTTTCAACCACAACAGCGATTCCATCCACCACAGCTGCTTCAACCACAACAGGTGTTCCAACCACAACAGCTGCTTCAACCACAACAGCAGCTCCAACCACAACTACTGCTCCAACTTCAACAACAGCTGCTTCAACCACAACAGCTGCTTCAACCGCAACAGTTGCTTCAACCACAACAACGACTCCATCCACAACAGCTGTTCCAACCACAACAGCAACTCCATCCACCACAGCTGCTTCAACCACAACAGCTGCTCCAGACGCAACAGCTGCTTCAACCACAACAGCGACTCCATCCACCACAGCTGCTTCAACCACAACAGCTGCTTCAACCGCAACAGCTGCTTCAACCACAACAGCAACTCCAACCACAACAGCTGCTTCAACCACAACAGCTGCTTCAACCACAACAGCTGCTTCAACCGCAACAGTTGCTTCAACCACAACAGCGACACAATCCACAACAGCTGCTTCAACCACAACAGCTGCTTCAACCACAACAGCTGCTTCAACCACAACAGCGACTCCATCCACCGCTGCTTCAACCACAACAGCTGCTTCAACTGCAACAGCGACTCCATCCACAACAGCTGTTCCAACCACAACAGCAGCTCCAACCACAACTACTGCTCTTCCAACCACAACACAGCGACTCCATCTACAACCACATCTGCTTCAACTGCAACAGCACCTTCCACCACAACTACAACAGCTCCAACCACATCTGCTCCAACCACAACAACAGCTGCTCCAACCACAACCACATCAGCTCCAACCACAACCACATCAGCTCCAACTTCAACAACAGCTGCTTCAACCACAACAGCTGCTTCAATCACAACAGCTGCTTCAACCACAACAGCTGCTTCAACCACAACAGCTGCTTCAACCACAACAGCGACCCCATCCATAACAGCTGCTTCAACCACAACAGCTGCTTCAACCGCAATAGTTGCTTCAACCACAACAGCGACCCCATCCACCACCGCTGCTTCAACCCACAACAGCTGCTCCAGCCGCAACAGCTGCTTCAACCACAACAGCGACTCCATCCACCACAGCTGCTTCAACCACAACAGCTGCTTCAACCACAACAGCGACTCCATCCACCACAGCTGCTTCAACCACAACAGCTGCTTCAACCGCAACAGCTGCTCCAGCCGCTACAGTGACTCCATCTGCAACAGCTGCTCCAGCCGCAACAGCTGCTTCAACCACAACAGCGACCAACCACAACTACTACTGCTCCAACCACAACCACAGCAGCTCCAACCACAACTACAGCTCCAACCACAACCGGAGCTTCAACCACAACAGTCGTTTCAACCACAACATTTGCTTCAACCACCACAGCTGCTTCAACCACCACAGCTGCTTCAACCACAACAGCTGCTTCAACCGCAACAGCTGCTCCAGCCGCAACAGTGACTCCATCTGCAACAGCTGCTCCAGCCGCAACAGCTGCTTCAACCACAACAGCGACTCCAACCACAACTACTACTGCTCCAACCACAACCACAGCAGCTCCAACCACAACTACAGCTCCAACCACAACCGGAGCTTCAACCACAACAGTCGTTTCAACCACAACATTTGCTTCAACCACCACAGCTGCTTCAACCACCACAGGTGCTTCAACCACAACAGCTGCGTCAACCGCAACAGTTGCTTCAACCGCAACAGCTGCTCCAACCACATCAGCTGCTTCAACCACCACAGGTGCTTCAACCGCAACAGTTGCTTCAACCACAACAGCTGCTTCAACCACAACAGCTGCTTCAACCGCAACAGCTGCTCCAACCACATCAGCTGCTTCAACCACAACTACAGCGGTTCCAACCACACAGCAGCTCCAACCACAACTACGGCAACTCCAACCACAACTACGGCAACTCACACAACAGTGGCTCCAACCACAACTACGGCAACTCCAACAACAGTGGCTCCAACCACAACTACAGCTGCTCCAACCACAACTACGGCAGCTCCAACCACCACCACAGCAGCTCAACCACAACTACGGCAGCTCCAACCACAACTACAGCGGCTCCAACCACAACCACATCAGATCCAACCACAACTACAGCTGCTCCAACCACAACCACATCAGATCCAACCACAACAACAGTGGCTCCAACCACAACCACAGCAGCTCCAACCACAACTACAGTAGCTCCAACCACCACCACAGAAGCTCCAACCACAACTACGGCAGCTTCAACCACAACTACAGCGGCTCCAACCACAACCACATCAGATCCAAACACAACTACAGCGGCTCCAACGACAACCACATCAGCTCCAACCACCACCACAGCAGCTCCAACCACAAATACGGCAGCTCCAACCACAACTACAGCGGCTCCAACCACCACCACAGCAGCTCCAAAAACAACAACACCTGCTAAACCACACACAACTACAGCTGCTCCAACCACAACTACAGCAGCTCCAGCCACCACCACAGCAGCTCCAACCACAACTACGGCAGCTCAACCACAACTACAGCGGTTCCAACCACCACAGCAGCTCCAACCACAACTACGGCAACTCCAACCACAACAACGGCAACTCACACAACAGTGGCTCCAACCACAACTACAGCAACTCCAACAACAGTGGCTCCAACCACAACTACAGCTGCTCCAACCACAACTACGGCAGCTCCAACCACAACAACAGTGGCTCCAACCACATCTACGGCAGCTCCAACCACAACAACAGTGGCTCCAACCACAACTACATCAGCTCCTACCACATCCAGTCCAGTTCCTGCACTAATAAGGCTGCTGATTTTTAAGTCTAATGAAAATTTCAGCCTGATTTGGCAGACTCATCAACATCAGCATTCCAAACACGTTCAGGAAGAATAAGGAATCGTGTATGTTTACCCTTCTTACTCATGTAACAATTTCACTTTTATTTTTTTAAATTTATTATTATAGACAAGTTAAATGTTTTCTTAAAAAGCCTAATGAGTCACAACATATGATTTAGATTTTTACATTTTAAGGAAGATCTATGTTTTCTACTTTAACCAATAAATACCAAATGTATTCATTGTACAACTGTGTTTGATAACACATTCTGAGAAATCAATGCTCTAAAATTTCATACTTAACTTTTCTTCTTGTTTTTATTGTAGCTTGAACCACTTTTCAAAGAGTGTTCACTTTATTCCGAAGGATTGGAATTATAAAATTCAGGTAATTTCTCTTGAATTTGGCCATGAATAAAATTGTTTAGAAGACATTAGCAGATGTAATATAACTGTTCTACTCTTTTCCAGTGCGGGATCAATCATCAACTCTGTGGACCTTGAATTTGAGTCATCATCAACTCCTAATGATACACTTATCTCAGAAACGTTGGTTACTGAGGCATCAAATATTACAGAATTTAATGTGGATGTTACGTCCATCTCTGTCAGCAACCCAGGTAAGAAAAAATTAATACGTTCAAGAAAATCTAATAATTTCAAACAAATCCCAAAACACACTAATAGAAATGTTCATAAAAATATTTTTAAAAACATCAGATCCATCAACAACCACAGCTGCTCCATTCACCACCACAGCTGCTCCATCCACAACTACGGTAGCTTCAACCACAACTACAACCACAGCTGCTCCAACAACAACCACAGTTGTACCAACAACAACCACAGCTGCTCCAACAACAACCACAGCATCTCCAACCACAACCACAGCAACTCCAACCACAACAATATCTGCTCCAACCACAACCGAACCTTCAACAACAACAGCTGCTACATCCGCAACAGCTGCTCCAACCACAACAGTCGTTTCAACAGCGACTCCATCAGCAACAGCTGCTTCAACCACAACAGTCGCTTCAACCGCAACAGTTGCTTCAACCATGACAGCGACCCCATCCGCAACAGCTGCTTCAACCACAACAGTTGCTTCAACCACAACAGCGACCCCATCCACCACAGCTGCTTCAACCACAATAGTTGCTTCAACCGCAACAGCTGCTCCAACCACAACAGTCGTTTCAACAGCGACTCCATCCGCAACAACTGCTTCAACCACCACAGTCGCTTCAACCGCAACAGTTGCTTCAACCATGACAGCGACCCCATCCGCAGCAGCTGCTTCAACCACAACAGGTGCTTCAACCACAACAGCTGCTCCAACCACAACAGTCGTTTCAACAGCGACTCCATCAGCAACAGCTGCTTCAACCACAACAGTCGCTTCAACCGCAACAGTTGCTTCAACCATGACAGCGACCCCATCCGCAACAGCTGCTTCAACCACAACAGTTGCTTCAACCACAACAGCGACCATCCACCACAGCTGCTTCAACCACAATAGTTGCTTCAACCGCAACAGCTGCTCCAACCACAACAGTCGTTTCAACAGCGACTCCATCCGCAACAACTGCTTCAACCACCACAGTCGCTTCAACCGCAACAGTTGCTTCAACCACAACAGCGACACAATCCACAACAGCTGCTTCAACCACAACAGCTGCTTCAACCACAACAGCTGCTTCAACCACAACAGCTGCTTCAACCACAACAGCGACTCCATCCACAACAGCTGCTTCAACCACAACAGTTGCTTCAACCACAACAGCAACTCCATCCGCAACAGCTGCTTCAACCACCACAGCTGCTTCAACCGCAACAGTTACTTCAACCACAACAGCGACCCCATCCGCAACAGCTGTTTCAACCGCAACAGCAACTCCATCCACAACAGCTACTTCAACCACAACATTTGCTTCAACCACAACAGCTGCTTCAACCGCAACAGCTGCTCCAACCACATCAGCTGCTTCAACCACCACAGGTGCTTCAACCACAACAGCTGCTTCAACTGCAACAGCTGCTTCAACCACAACAGCTGCTTCAACCACAACAGTTGCTTCAACCGCAACAGCTGCTCCAACCACATCAGCTGCTTCAACCACCACAGGTGCTTCAACCACAACAGCTGCTTCAACCACAACAGCGACCCCATCCGCAACAGCTGCTTCAACCGCAACAGCTGCTTCAACCACCACAGGTGCTTCAACCACAACAGCTGCTTCAACCGCAACAGTTGCTTCAACCACAACAGATGCTTCAACCGCAACAGTTGCTTCAACCGCAACAGCTGCTCCAACCACATCAGCTGCTTCAACCACCACAGCTGCTTCAACCACAACAGCTGCTTCAACCACAACAGCGACCCCATCCACAACAGCTGCTTCAACCGCAACAGCTGCTTCAACCACAACAGCAACTCCAACCAGTACAGCTGCTTCAACCGCAACAGCTGCTTCAACCGCAACAGCAACTCCATCCACAACAGCTACTTCAACCACAACATTTGCTTCAACCACAACAGCGACCCCATCCGCAACAGCTGCTTCAACCGCAACAGCTGCTTCAACCACAACAGCTGCTTCAACCACAACAGCTGCTTCAACCACAACAGCTGCTTCAACCACAACAGCTGCTTCAACTGCAACAGTTGCTTCAACCGCAACAGCTGCTCCAACCACATCAGCTGCTTCAACCACAACAGCTGCTTCAACTGCAACAGTTGCTTCATCCGCAACAGCTGCTTCAACCACAACAGCAACTCCATCCACAACAACTGCTTCACACAACAGTTGCTTCAACCACAACAGCAACTCCATCCGCAACAGCTGCTTCAACCACAACAGTAACTCCATCCACAACAGCTGCTTCAACCACAACAGCAGCTTCAACCACAACTACTACTGCTCCAACTTCAACCACAACCAGAGCAGCTCCAACTACAACCACAGCAGCCCCATTTGTACCAAGTACATCTACAACTGAGCCTCCTGCTCCGGTGTATGCTCTTGTAGCAACCATCATTGAACCATTTGATGAACAACTCACTAACAAATCCAGCGAATTGTTTGTAGATCTTGAGAAAAGAGTCACAGCAACAGTAAGTACCAAACTAAATTTTGTATTTATATTTTCAACATTACAGTCTATTTGAATTATTGAAATTTATACTTCATTCTCATGGCGGCACTCAACGTTATTTCTTACAGTATGACATAATCTACAAAAAGAAGTTTGGAATCCTCTTCATTCGTAGTTGTTATTGCATTTAGGTAAGATTCAAATTGTACTTCTCTTTCCACAAGCATATTTAAGATTTGAATGATGATTTAAGTTATTTGTCGAAAAAATCCAAAATACTGTAGGTTTTTTATTTTCAGTTTTTTCTTTACTTACTGTATTGGTGGTTATGTTGCAGAGCTTCCACACGATTTGCACAACGAATGAATAATACTGAAGCAGAAGTGGGGTTGGAGTTTAATATAAACTACATCTTCTGAAAATCTCCCAAAGAATGAAGTTGTTCAAGCAACCTTACTCGAGGCAATAAACAGCACCACTTTCAACGTTACATTCATTCCTGGCACCGTTACTCTAACACGTAAGTGAAAGAGTTGTAACACTACACAAGAACAGAGCAGTGAAGCTCTTTTTAGAAGCATTGATATTTGTATTTTTGACCAGTTTATGTGTCTGTTTAATTTCATGAAAACCTACAGTGACTCAATTTGTGAGTAATGGCTAATTTGTTATTTATTATCCTGGTAGGCACACCTTTGGCAACCTCTGCTCCCACGACAGATACTACAAATACTACAACAACTCCACCAACCACCATCACAACTGCTACTACAACTCCACCAACCACCACAATAACCACAACAGCAACTACAACTGTGGAGTCAACTGTGAAACGGCGACTGACTTTTAGATCTGCGGGAGAGATATTCACCACCGAGTTGCTGGACACATCATCTACAGCTTTCAGAAATCGAGCTGCACTTTTGAAGACCAATGTAAGTTTCATTTGAGATGGTTGTAAAATATTTGCATAAGTAATTAGTTCCTAAAACAACTTACCTAAAAGAATTAATACAAGTTTTCTTTCTTCATATCTGTGTTTTTTGGCACCAAATATAACATTTCCAGGCAATGTCACACAGTAAAAAACATGTTTATTTTTACTTAATTTTTTTGCATGAATCAAAAAAAAATTATGAAAATTAGAAAAAAAAAAAAAAACAATGGATCTGACATGTTTTATCAAGCCAATATTAAGAGATTGCAATATCACAGGATAAATTGACCTGGATAGATTTGAATTCCCTTTACTGCTTTTTACAAGCTTCAAATTTGATTGCTGCAATTATATTTTTAATTATCCAATGTTAAAATTCACCATTAATGGAAAACTCACATTCTTTGTCTTTTTGTAGCTTGAACCACTCTACCAGGCAGCGTTCTCTTCTTACCGCAGTTTCAATGTGATTTCATTCAGGTATGAGTTGCATATAAATTCTGAAGACTGTTAATATGAATGTGCACAGATTAACTGAAATGTTGTTATCTCTGCAGAAATGGATCAATCATCAACAACATTGACATTGAATTTTTAACACAATCTCAACCTACTAGCGCCCAAATCACAAATGTTTTGGTGAAAAGCAAATTCAACCGTCACAGCTTCAACATTGACATCAATTCAATTTTTGTGGATGGCGCACGTAAGTTAAATTACATTCAAACTATAGAAAATATAGATTAACATATTAATCATACATGATCAATGAACTCACAAAGGAGTTAGTTGAAGTAAGTAGTTTTTTTTGTCTTCTTTTACACAGAAACGTCGAACGGAGCAAGCCATGCCATCAGCCTCATCACTGCATTCAGCATGGCCCTGCTGTCTTGGCTTCTTTCAACTCAGCAGTAACGTCTCTGCTGTCTTCCACAGGAAAATCTGCATGAAAATGTCAATTATTGCTTGTGTGAACAAGAATGTTGTTCTAATTCAAGACCAAGATTCACTTAGAATTTCAAAGCATTTATTGAAACTTAATAATTTCCTCTTGTCAATGTTTTATTTATTTATACAAAACTAATTATTCTGTGTCGTTGAATTAATTTATCCTCTTTGTCATGAAGGTATTTCTTGAAGGATTATGTCGTTTGGTGAAGATTTTTCTCTCAATAAATATTGTAGGGTTTACCAAAAATAAGCTGTCTGAGCAACCTCCTGTATGATTGTCCAGTTTTTCTTTTCATTTTGGACTAGATTAATTTATAACAGAAATAATTTTGTAAAGAATATACCTGTCAGTTTAATAAAAGATCAGGAAAACACAACAATGCAATGGAATATTTTAAATGATCTCCTTTTCTCCTCCCTGTCTGAAGTTACAAACCAAACTTTCCTTGTTTTAGCTTAGTTACAATTACCAACATTTTCTATTTTTATTTACTAAACTATATGATTTGTGTCAAGCCTTTGGGGGTTTTACACAATATTTTGCTCAAGTTCTGGGTCCATTTTGTAGGTTGCCTCACTTGCACACACCTTTTCATATCTGATTGTCAAGATGGCCAAACTAAAACACTGACTTTGTGGTCCTTTAGCTACTTTGTAACCAATTTGGCTGTAAGCTGATGGTTGGTGTCCATTTGGAAGACCTATCTGAGCTCAAGTTGTAAAGTCTTTTCTGATGTTTCTATGTTGTTTCAATATTTCCAGCTCTTTATAATGCATCTATTTTATGCAGTGGCGGAGCTAGACTTTTTTTCAAGGGGTGGCCAAAGGGTGAGCAAGGCTTTATCAGAGGGGTCCATATACAAATGGACCGTTCCACGGAACGAAAGGAAAAAATATATTTGTTTCCTTTCGTTCAAAATTAATTAATATAATTAGTTAGGTTATAATTCAAAGCTTTCATATGACATAGCCTACTTACATTTCAGTCATTATAAAACTTAATGGTTTTTCACATATTCTTACCACACATTTCAAGCAAGACCTGGGAGATATAAAACATTAGAGGGCAGCATGTCACTAAAACATATGTTAAAAGATTCTGTCTAAAACACGACCTACCAACACTAGCATGGCTAATATAATAAACGAGGCACTACGCAGCGGTGCACAACCATTTTTTTTCTTTTTAGAAATGTATGACAAGTGCCGCCTCTCCTTAGGAAGGTAACAGCGGTTACCGCTGAGCGGTAAAATGTCGTAAATACCTGCAAAACTCCTGGACCGTGTAACTCCAAAACGCGGATGTGTTTTGGATCAAGCAGGAACCACATGTCAGTTTAACCAATGAACAGCGTCGGGCATCGAGCTGCCTTCAGGGACAGTCGAAGATTACAGTTTTCCTGGCAAATCTTTGCCGATCTCATATTATATTTTAAAATTACCATTTCCACTGGGGTGGCAAGGCTCTGTTGGGGGTGGCAAGTGCCACCCCGGCCACCCCTCTGGCTCCGCCACTGAATGAAGTGTGTCAGTTCTCATGCAGCAAAATAGCCTCAAATATGACCCTGGCCTGAAGATCTATGTGCCTGTATGCATTTGCAAACTGCAATATGGATTTTTATGTTTCTTTTGAACTTTTCTCCCTCGCTGAGTGGCATTTCAGCCAATGTTGGACAATGACACTGTAAAAAAACTCTGTAAATTTACAGTAAAAAATTGTAAAATACCAACAGTTACACATAGTAAAATCTTATATTACTGTCGAAAATACATGGCATTGCCGTAAGTCAACACTGCAAAAAAAAAAATTTAAAAACAGTTAATTTAAGGTAAAAAATGGTAAAATACGTGCAGTTGCTAACTGTATTTTACCACAGAAAATACATGGAATTATATTAACCCAATAAAGATAAATTTTTAGTGGTTTTGAGTCATGAAATGTAAAAAACACACAAATCTATTGTAAAAATCTAAGTTATTGTCAAATTCATAGAAAATTATTATATTTCTGGCAGTTAATTACCATAAAATTAACAGTATTAATTGGCCAAAATTGCAAATTTTGCTGATGTTTATCTCCATGATGTAATGGTTTTGGATTGAAAGTGTACCGGATATTGCTGATAAAAAAATTTTCTTGTCAGTATTAGAGAAAGCAAATGTTTTATTTTTAACACTAAACATATATTTATCACAACTATTATCATTATTTTTATGATATTTTAACCACTACACATATCTTAACAACATGAGGCATGTTAAGATATGTGTGTTATGCAATTCTTTCTCCATTTGTACTTAAGAATTGTTTAACTGTTGCAAACCCACAATATAAGCTTGTTTTAACGCTTGAAAAGTATCTTTTCCTGTGTAAAAAAAAAAAAAATCCTGCAGGTTATTTATTTATTTATTTATTTATTTATTTATTTGTCCTTTCAAAATGCCAAGCTACAATACAAAACGCTTCTGATTTTTTAAAGAAGAATAATAGAAACGTACACTTTATTGTAAATTACTTTAACAGCTGGTATACAGATGGAAACGAGTATTTTATTACTCAATCTAGATAGACTCACACAGAGAAAAATAGCAGTTAGAAGATTTAATGGTACAAAGTTCTTTGGCGCTCGAACCCGGTAGAAGACGACTGAGCTGAGGATCAACCGAGGGCAGGCGGTCGGCTCAGCGAAACTCAGGCAGTCTGAGCCGGGTTCGAATCCTGGTGATGGAGCCTTGAGGTGAAGGAATGCAGAGGGAGCCTGGAAGGTGTCTGCCGGCACGGAGGAGGAGATGGGAGGTGGCGGGTCGAAGCACGGCTCAAGAGCAGGAAGACCGAAGGCAGCGCTTCCTTGTTGGAGGGATCCGTGCACGGTGATTGGCTGGAACGGTGCAAGTCGCCAGACCTGATTGGCAGCGGAGGGGGCGTGGAGGATGGTGATGAGGATCAGCTGTGTTCCGTCTCCCAACTTGAATTTTCGCCTAGGCTTCAGATTAAAAGTTGGGAAATATAATATCTATATGAAATGTTATTAATTCGCTTTTGTATTTGTGTTTTTACTTTTACTCTCACATTGTCAAAAGGACGAATAAAAACGACTGAATGGCTTTCAAAAGGTTAAGTGGTTTGTGTAACTCTTCAAATATTGTGGAAAATGTAAAATTTAGAACATTTTGAACAGTGAATTTCTGTTTCTTTTTGAACCAGCTGACTTAAAACTGCAATAGCTCAAAATGAAATCTAATGTAGCAAAAACTTTTGTTTTAAACTTG